AAGATACTAACTTATTTGATAGTATATATTTCTCTACTTTCCATCTCAATTCTATTGCAAAAAAATGGTATATACATAAGAATGTACAAGATTCATTCGCTTTACGGACTAGCCATGCTATTATTATTATAGACTAAGCTAAATGTATAGTTTTTCTCCTTTGCTCTTAGTTCATCTTGAGCAAACAAATTGTTAACAAATATTCTTTTTATTTTGCTTATTGGCTTTGCTGTTATGAAAAATGTATGATAATAATGGAAATCTTGCTTTATTCTACACAGGTACAAAAAATGCTACTCCTTGCAAGTTACTTTAGTTGGAAGTTAACAAGGCGTCCATCTTACCATACCCAAGAAGTAGATTTATTATGTTTTTTTTATTCAATTCTTTTGGTTTTCATATTTCTTATTTCATTGTCTAAATTCTCTTCTTTTCTAATAGTAAGTTTGTGAATACTTTCATTGGGTACAAAAGAATTTTTTTTACGATACGGATAATTAAATAAATGTGAGTCCTTAATTAATGTGCTTTCGTTTTCTAGTATTTTAAGTAAGTACCACGAATAACTAGTAATGTACAAAATAGTGTAGTTAAGACTTATATTTACTACATATGATTGAAAAGTCCCATCGGCTATTTTGGAGGGTTCAATCCACTTTAGAATTTTGGGTGTACATGTCTCATCTTAGTATAAGTGAAAAGAAAATAAACTTATAACTTAGATGGTACTTTCTATTGTTAGATTTAATCAAATTAGTTTTGGTTTCTTCTCTTAAAGTAGTATTTTATATGTTAACTAATGGGGTTTTTCTTTTTTATTTTGAATGTTTTGTCTTGGCAATGGTTCATATACTTTATTTTTAAGTTAACATTAACTGATTATGTAAAGTGAATAACCGGTGATTTGTATTTCTTAAATGGTACTCCCTCCGTCCACTTTAAATGATTTTTGGTATTTTTTTGTGGTCTACAATATTTGATTTTTTCATAAGAAAGAATAAACTTTTTCTTTTCAAAGTTGCCCTTGGAGTAAAGAGTCTAGGAGTAGTTCTTTATATTTGCAAAGAGCAAATTAAGATTAATATGATCAATTTCAATGTTAATTAATGCTAAAAGGTGAATTCTTTAATATGTGTGAAAAGAGCCAAAAAAATCACTTAGTGAACCGAAGGAAGTATTATTATCTCAATATTAATGTTTCAGTTACTCATGCATTCAATGTAAATTTTATAAAAGCATGCTTAGATTGCAGAACAATGCATTAAAAGTAGAAAGCACCACTTTTTAAATTTATGTCGCAAGGAAGAAGAGGTGCTCCTACTAAAGTTTTTTGGTTGTTAATGAAAAGTTTGTATTTCATTTACATAAATTTTTGGTCAATAAAATTCTCCAGAGAGTGAGTTTCTGATCATAATGACCACCTAAAGTAGGATTTTCATTATTCTCTTAATATACAACTAATGATAACTTAAATGTTTTTATTCGTATAATAAGTAGTTTTAAGATGAATTTACGTAATTCTAATCTTAACTTTAGTTCTCATTTTTAACACTCTTTGAATTTTTTGATTAGATAAATGAGTTATATTTGTAATATGCACGTAGTTAACTATACACCACATATAAGTATTTCATATAAATAAACAAAATTTATGAATTAAACCAAATGTAAGTTTTTTTTATAAGTGTGCTATTTCTCATAGAAAAAAGGAAACAATACCTAATCCGCTATCAACTGCTAATCCTTTTGTAAGTTTATTGATGTTTCTTAAGACTTTGTCAACTTATCGATACTTTAAAATTGCGCGAAACAATTTTACTAGTGTCGATAATAATGGAGGTTATGAATCTGGAGCCTTAGCATTATTGGCATGGGAAGAGAGAAGAAAAAGTCTAATGAGATATATGGGTGAATTTGCTATAAACTCAAATAATAGTTATGATTGACAATTTTTTCAAAGTGTATTTATGTATTATAAATATTGTGTATGAGTTAGTAATGGGGTGTAAATTCTCAATTTCAATATTATAGGTTTGAGTTTGAAATTCTATATTGAGTTCAAATTCTATTATTTATACTTATTTGGAGATTTTTGAGTCCAAGCTGAGCCCATTTGGACATAGGAAAATTTTTTCTTTTTTTCAAAAAAATTTCACTTTTTTTCGAAATCAGCGTTTGTTCATAAAATTTTCAATTTTCACTTGAAAATGCATTTTGAATTTTCGAAAATTTGAAAAACTTCAAAAAGCTGTTTTTCAAAATTTTTACTCAAATAACTCACAAAACTTCAAACAACCCAAAATTATATTCATGTCCAAACACAACTCTAAATTTCAAATTCCATTTTCACTTGATAAAAATTTTCCCCCTATTTTAGAATTTTACATTTCTTATGTCCAAACGCCCACTAAGACTATTGAGTTCAAATAAACTTGCAAGTCCTTAGCTACAGCCTACATCCCTGGGTGAAAAGACAGCTTGAAAGACCTAAACTAACCTAAGGAGCAGGTGCACATGTAGTGGTCTTTTCCGGAATTAGTTTGGGAGACACAACACACACAAATATATATAAAAAGAAAGTAACTATATGTGGAAGGTATATAACAACACTTGCTATTGTAGCAAGCAATTATAGATCAATGTTCGTTCCTTTCTTGAGTTGTTTACGCTCAATTATATTTGTTGAAATAAATTACTTCTGTGAATGGAGCCACCAACAGTTTAGCATTAGTGGTCTGCTCCAAAATTTAAATGTATCTGTTTGACCAAAAATATAGATTTTGGTTCAACCAATAAAAAAGAATTAATCTTAATTAAAAGTAATATTCTAAAGATAAAGCTATCGAAGCTGTGAAAAATAACTAGTATATTTGTCCGAATCCTCTTTCATTACTTTATTCTTTCCATATCCCTCTCCTTTGTTCTCAGTTACTCATCAAATGGCGCTGGAAACCGCTTTCATGCGTCTTGGTTGTTGGTGGAGAAGAAAACCCACCTGAAAACAAAGATTCTATTTTCAATAGTTTCAAAGGCATCACTCTTCTAGGCCAATAGGTAGATCAGTGGTTGCGATGGCTCTCTTGGTATCACACCTCGGCATGGTCGGGCATAGGGCCACGGACATAAGTTGCGCCCCCGCCGGCTATCTTTGATTGTCTTGGTCGGAAAATTCCGCACATAGTCCTGGTTGGAAGACAGGCGCCATCCTATGAGGCGAATATAAGTAACAATAACAGTATTCAATCGTCCAAAAAGATGGAATATAGCATTAAATAGCAGTAGATGAAAATAAATGACATTTAAGTAAATAAAACGCGTGAATCACCCGAAAAGAGATGAGATCAATGGATATTCTTTTCTGACAATGATGAATGATTGATAAGCTTTCGAACACTTAGATTGTTCTTGGATCCAGTGGAAATGTTAGCCGAGAATCTTAGTAAAAATGTTGATTTTGTATGCTTGCAATAGGACCAAATTCTTCCATACAGTCAATGTATTTTTTTACAAATGAATATCTCATGGCCCCTATCATTGTGTCTATTTCTATTTACAAGGAACATATTCATAGAAACCATAATAGTACATGTGTAAAGAATATATTCACGGGAATATTCTCTTTTATGCCTTATCTTAGAACTAGCCATTATTACTCTGTTTAAGATGCTCGACCTCGACCTTGAACTACGGTGACTTCACGACCTTGATCTTTGCTGGCTCTTGCACTCTTTATCACTTCGAGGCTATTTTGCCCTGGGGCCGATCTTTGTGGAGACCTTTCTGATAGCACGTGGCGGTCGATGAAAGCCATAATAGTGCTGACGTGGCTTGCCTGTATCAAAGATATTTTTTGGCCCATACTGCATCTCAGAAATTCCCAACATATTTGGCTTCTCCAATTAACTTTACAAGTATGTTAGAAAACTTAGACTTCTACAAACAAAGTAAACACAATTTATGACTTTGATGGTATTACTTTTCTAGATTTTTCTTTTCATTGTTTTTTCTAGATTTATTGTGCATTTTAATTTCTGCCATCAAATTCAAACTTCTTGAAGATTGGCATCTCTATCAGCCGCCAAAAAGGGGAAGGGTGCGCACCATCGAAAGTTGCTTATGTTGGTCGTAATGCTTGCTTGGACTTGCAATTTTTTGTTGCCTCGTACTTCTTTGTGCAAGAGCGTATTCTTCAAAATCTTATCTGCTTTGAATTGAGACGTGTGTAAATGCGCATACCAAAAAGCTGGCCTGTGATAGCTAGTATTTACGGGCACAAAGCCAATCATATTAGATATTTTGCTGCATAGGTTTTCAAAAATCAGTGAAATGATGTTCGTAGAATATGAAACAAACTATACTGGCTAGGTAGAAAATGCATAAATGATGATGTCAAGGAATAGATGGATCCGCAACTATGAATTGAACCACTTCAAAATTTATACATTGAATGGGTATTGACGGAGACTATGGGAGACCTCAAGTGTAATTGTGAGCGATGACCAATATTAGTGGCAAAATAGAACAAGGCAAAGCAAGGAGGAGAGAGCATTGATGTGGCAACACTTGAGCCTAAAGATCACCTTTTCTACACTTAACCGTCGAAACTTAATTACTCCCTCCGTTCAAGTTTATGTGAATCTATTTCCTTTTTTGTCCGTTCCAAAAAGAATGAATCCTTTCTAAATTTGGAAGCAATTTAGCTTAAATTCTCAATTCTACCCTTAGTAAGAAGCTTTTATAACCACACAAATAGGGCGGACCCTTTCCGAAGCAATTGAAAATATCTTAAATGCTCGCAAAAAGGCAAATATTTGGTCGTTGATACCATAATTTGCATACAATTAGAGTCGAAGTATATATGTAAAATACCCATTTGTTGTCTCTGATTCTATATAACTTATACACTTTTTTCGTACTTTTTTTCCTTTTCACTTTATATATAACACCGGTTTAACCAGAACGGTAAAATCCGTTATCCATGAAAATGTGCTAATGGCACACTTATTTATTTAGCTTATAGAACCCGTTAAGGTGCAATAGGCTTGGAGAACAAGACAAACTGCGTGACTCGGGCAATGGGTTTTGCTAGGGCTTTGTAAAATCGCGAAACCTCTCTTCGTCGGACCGTCAATCCACAGTCATTTCCTCTCTCTCGAACGTCCAATCCACGTTTCCGATTCACAGAAACATCAATGAACGCGGCGAGATCGAACTCCCTCAGCAAGCTCCGGCTGCTGAACCACATTCTTCAATCGCCGACCACCAGAGCAGTCTCCACTCTCTCTTCTCCGATTCTAAAGCAGTCCTCTCTTCTCTCCAATCAACTCCCGCTACGTCAGCTCTCCCCTTTCTTCACCTCCGTCCGCCATTTCCGCAACGCTCGCGACCCCAGCGTGAGGTAAAATTCTCGATCCTGATCTTATATTGCTACTCTAATTTTACTGTAATTTTGTTTTCTGTGAATAATTTGTGATTTTATGAAGATATGAAATCCCGCCGCCGGTAAATTGGGGAGTACGAATTGTGCCTGAGAAGAAGGCTTATGTTGTTGAGCGGTTTGGGAAATATGCGAAGACGTTGACTCCTGGAATTCACGTATTGATCCCTTTCGTGGATAAAATTGCTTATGTGCATTCGTTAAAGGAAGAGGCAATTCCTATACCGGATCAATCCGCCATTACCAAGGACAATGTCAGCATTTTAATTGATGGTGTTCTCTATGTCAAGGTTAGAAAACCCTAACTAGCTTTAGATTGAGCCGTTGTTGGTGTGCGCTCGCGGATATGAGCTGATGATGTTTGATTTTTGCTGTTTTAACTGTAGATTGTGGACCCTAAATTGGCGTCTTATGGGGTTGAGAATCCACTGTATGCGGTAATTCAGCTAGCACAGACCACTATGCGAAGTGAGCTTGGTAAGATCACACTGGACAAGACCTTTGAGGAAAGGGACACCTTGAATGAAAAGATAGTGGTGAGACTTTACTAGCAATATTTGGTATAATTCTAGCCCCATACCCCTTTATTTCTGCTCATTAATAGCATATGTCCAGTATCTATCTGTTTTTTATCACATATGATAACCTGCAGATTGTTTGATCAGTTCCTTCCACTTATGGTTAGCTGAAACTGAAAATAGAGTAATTTTCCTATGCAATCTGTTGGATGTGATTCTTCACGCTTGAGATGCAAGTTGTTGTATGTGATTATTCATTTTGGAGATTTGAGCTAAGAATTTTTTATTTGATGATTTACTTATCTTGAATTTTGTAAGTTTCACATAAAGTTGATCTTATCAAATAAGTGTCACATAAGGTTGATAGATTTACCTGCTAGAACTTTGTTTGGGATGGTTTTAAACAACTCTACCACTCAAGACAGGCTGCCCTCTTTCTTTTTTTTCTTTTATGACAGAGGTGTCCGGGCCAACTAATGATGACGTCAACTATACCATCAGGCATACCAGGTAACTCTTCCCACCAACGATTAGGTAGATGGGAAGAAATCACCTTGTGTTTTTTTGCCGGATTTGAACTTGAGACCTCATGGTTCTCCTCCCACCTCATTGACTACTAGGCCACACCCTTGAGTGACTCAAGAATGCTAAACTTGTTGGGAAGCATAGACTTTAGCCAACCAAGCAATTTTTCTCTTAAATTTTTCAAAGCAAATAGACATTGTAAAAGCATGAGCCTTAGTTCACCTAGCGCATGCAATATTAATGCTCCTTTTGCTGGTTTTGCAACTTGACATTTCTCTAATAAATGGTTCATGCAACCATTTCCACATGAAGCACCAGTTGACATGTGTTATATCCCTTTCATTATATTTTTAGCAGTTAGTATCCCCGCTTTTACTGCTATTCATGTGAACAAGCAAACCTTTCTCGATGCTCTAGGGATCCAAACAGAGAAATATGGGCATCCACTATCCTCTCTTTTCAGTAACTTCTGTTAGAAGGACTTCCCTAGAAAATTCCACTTCCCCTGCCTATAGACTTCCATGTGTCCAGCTTTGATCGGATGAGATTTGGTCTGTAAGGTAATTTTATCGGATTTGAAGTCCTTTTATCTTTCGATGTTGTATGCTTATTTTGAATCTTAAATTATATAATGATCCATCATCTTGTTCTTTGTATAACTGGTCAAATGCTATCCTTTCTGGCCCGATATGCGGAAAATTAGTTGGGTATTTGACACTTAAGATGTCATCCCTACACCATTTGTCCTTTCAGAAGCTGATCCTGATCCCATTGACGTTACAGCTGAACTCGTTCCATCTTTTCATGATATCCCTCCATAGTTTGCACTCATAAGGTAGAGTGGTGTTTTCGGTTTTCCACTCCTCCTCATCATACTTATCTGCATTCAGTTTCTTCTATAAGCTGTATTTCTCATTACTGAACCTCCGAAACCACTTTCTTAAGAGTGCTTTGCCGAATACTCTTAAGTGTTTCAGCCCGAGCACTCCATACCTTAAAAAAGATGTGACCAAGTTTGCTATCACTCTTATCGATGCATGCGTGGTTGGGACACTTGAAAATGTATCTTTTTATCCCATAACTTGTGTTCCTCTGGAAATTTCATTGTAATGTCTTCAACTTTTCTATCACTCTTTCCGATGCATGCGTGGTTGGGACACTTGAAAATGTGATCCTGATCAGACTTTCTTTGCCTCCCTTCGCCAGGTATCTTTTCTGGCACTCTGTCACCTCTTCTCAACCTTTTCTAATTTAGGATTTCAAACTGCAAGGCCCTTGTGTGATGCTCTTAATCGATAGTCCTAATGCTCATTGTAATGTGTCTACTATATTTATCCATTTGGTGTAAACTGCAAATTGTATATGCACTGCTAAGCAAGTTGGGGTCGGCTATATGAATCCTCACTGTTGTCGCTCCATTTAAGCCCATCTTAATCCTGTTGACATGAAGGTTGTATATTAATTATGTACCTGTTGGTAGTTCCTGTTATCCCAAATTACCTATTCTCTTTGTATTTCACTGTTAACTGACTTTTTTTCGCTATCAAATTTGTTGCATTGTTTGTTATAGTGTAGTTATCCTATTTTGATTATGCTTTAGTACTGAGGTGTAACACTGAAGAATTAGTTTATTCAAGTAAAATCATGTCCGAATGGATATAAAATTGACATTTTGAAGAACATGAATATTGTATCCAGAGGCAGATCTAGGAGTTGACGACTACAAGTGCCACTATTTTAATGCAAACTTACCAATAGTAAAGTTGATTGAATTAGGGTACATTTAGTTGGTTTGATCCGTTAAATTAATTTGGGTCAACCCTAAGGGGTTGGCCTGGCTCAATAGACTTGAGCCTTGGGGTTTGCTCTCTTTCAAGGTCTCAAGTTCGAAACCCACTGGGTGCAAACAATTTCTGAGGGCCATCGGACTGGATAAAAACCTGAATTAACCGTGGTGCACTTGCGGGAAACTCCTTGCCGAGGGCCTGTGCACCCCCGGGATTAGTCGGGGCTCTTAGAGACTCGGACACCCGGTGCAAATCAAAAAAATAAAAATTAATTTGGGTCGGGTCGGGTCGGGTCGATCCATCTTGAATTGATTTAGTTCGATATACAAGATGTTTGGTGCATAAATAAATTGGTGATCACCAAACTGAGTAAGTTTTGTCCAATACGATCTAATTTTCTTCATTCAAATTCTTGATAATATGATTAAAAAATAAAAATAAAAATAAGAATTTAAAATAAACAAATACACCGCTTCACTCTACATGTAGCTAGATTATTGTTATCTTTGTTGATATTTTTTTTTTTTTTGAAGATGGTAACAGTTTTTGTATTCAGAAGCACAAAGGCTGTGCTGACCATAATTACAGAGGAATGGACCAACATATACAAAAAAAATTCCTATCTTCTTGCAGAGTCCCTAGAACATCTATTAAAGCTTCTATGTCCACTGTGTATTCTTGTTTACACCAAAAATGAAATAACAGTAGGCAGTTCATTTTTATCTTCTAAGTTGAGAGCTGGCATTGTCTTCAAAACATCTTGAATTTCTCTCTTTCCAGATAGTCCACCATATGCAGGCAGGAATTAGATCCCATCTATTCCTCTCACTTGCACTTCTTCTCACCTTATTCCAGCATGACAGCAGGTCCTTGGTGCTGCTATTTGGCATGACAGCAGGTCCTTGGTGCTATTTGGCATGACCCAGTGTATCCCTGTTAGAGCTAGGAATATGTTCCAAAGTTGAACAGTCACCGTGCAGTGTTAGGACAGGTGACTATTAGTTCCAAATTTGATATTATCAAAAAATTTGGAAATCAGGGAAACAATAATATATTATAAGGATACAAAGAGAAAATGATTAAAATCATTTTCAAATAAAGATCTAGAAAAACAAAAAGGAAAGCAAATGTATAATTTAATAAATAATAAAGATGGCTACAAAGAGAGAGGGAACGCAAAGATGAAGATTGAAGAATTAAAAGAAATAAAGAAAAGGAGCAGAAAGAGAAGGAAGAAAAGGGAACAAAGAAAAACTAGCTTGAAAACGAAGGCAGTGCCTTAGTGAGTATTGATCCTACATCTTGCAGATGGAAAGTTGGCACTTTACTCCGGGTGCCACTATTACATATATATATATATATATATATATTCGTGGGTTCGTTCCCCACAGACGGCGCCATGGCTGTCACTTTGCCAAAAAGTGAAGATGAAGGTTCATCAAGACGAAGACTACCTAGAACACTAACACAGGGAGAAGCATTAAAAAAGAAGGGTATAATTTCTAAAAAGAAAAAAAATGAGAAAATAGAAAGCATAATTAAACAGACATTAGAAAATTTCTTTCAAGAAAAAGAAAAGCAAGACAAACATATGATTAAAAGTCCCAGTTTTAATCCAAGTCCAGAAAGAAGTCCAGAAAGGTCTCAAAGCTCAGGGGAAGATGATAATGAAGACCACTTAAATTATCAAGATGCCCAAGATCCATACAAAGATGATTCTGGAATGAGTTTTGATTCAATAGCTCTACATAACTTAGACACGTAAAAGGAAGCAAGATCTCAGTTAGAAGAAAATAAGAGCAACAAAGACAAAGAGCAATAATTCGGGAGACAATTGAAAAAGAAGAAGTGACATAAAGAAAAGAAGACGTGACAAAAGGTAGTACTACAAGACAAGCTGAAATTTGAGTGGAAGAAAATAGTCACAAACACTAAAGAAATCCCTGCCTAAGCCATGTGAAGATGGGGCCCAATGAAGTACCCTACAAGGCTAGACAAGAAAGATTTCTGGAAGGGTTTGGAGTCCATTTTGAAATCCGTCTAAAAAATTTAGCTATAAAAAGGGAAAGAAAGAAGAAGAGAAGATACAACTACAAGAGAAAGAACACTCTCAAGAAAGCCAAGCCTCCAAAATACTCTCCTTCATCACCCACCATCCTCCAAACATCTTGTAATATACCTTGTAAAATATTTCCTTATGTATGCCTTAGTAGTTTCTACCTCGAGTTTGTAAAATAAATAAATCATTATGCTTGTGTGTGCCAGATCTTAATTCCCAAGTCCAGTAAACTTTTTGGGTTTCCCGAAAGGGAAATCTCTCTCCTGTAAACATGTAAGTTACTTATTTTATCTAAATTATGTTTCTGGATATTACCCCTGTTTTACAGTTTTATGTTATTATGTATAGTTTATGTTTATTATTCCTCAATTATTAGTAGGTATATATACATACATATAGTGTATATATATATATATACCACTCTTAGTATATGGTTATCTTTCCAATTTCTTAATAATTTTGATGGATTAACCTATAAATTCCTAGGAGAAACCGGTTAAGTCAAACCCAACATTAACGAAAAATGGGTATATATGTTTAACCGTGGCCAGGGTGGGGTTAATGAAAAAAGAGTTAAGAAAAGATTAATTCTTTAAAAAATTGGAAAGAAGAGATGAACAGAGTGGAATAATTAAAAAAAAAAAAAAAAGAGCATAGAAGGGGTAATTTCAGGGCATAATTTTGATAATACTGTAACGATATAGGTCATATATATATATATATACCTTTTGTTGTGTAAATTTTCAATACATATATGAAATTTTACCCAGCGTACGGGTGGCGTGCTGCCCCCAATGCCCTACGTAGATCCGCCTCTGATTGTATCTCTCTGTGTCACTTTTTTGACAATAAGATGTTTGCAAGTTTATAGAGAAAGAGTCATTTTTGGGCAGGTGAAGACATTTTAGAAAAGACAGTAATGCTTGCTTGTTTCCTTTTTTCAATCATTTATGGTTTTCCATGTAGTGTTCCTGTCCTTTTTGTGTGTGTTTATTCTGTATTGTTTTTCTGTTTTTCTCCTTTTTTGTGTGAGTTCGGTTATTTTATTAATCATTAAAATTTAAGTGAATTACCACTTAAATTAATTCGTCAACTTGACCATCAGGTGTCTAAGAATGATGTTGAGAAGAAACTCCAAGATAACCAACTTACCAATAAAATAAATAGGTAAGAGTTGCTGAGTTAAAACTGCATCCATGATGAGAGTGCCAATGTCCACTATTACTGATTCTTTCGCCATATTCTGTGGACTGTATGCTTATGAGATGTCTGACGCTACTTTTCTCGTTGTATTGGTAAACTGAGTCCATTTTCGTCTGGCACAATGGAAATATCATCACTTCATCTAAAAAAAATAAATGGAAACATCATCCAAAAGAAGTAAAGAACTTTATATGCTTAATACATCGTGTAAAATCGTAGATGAAATTTCGTGGCAAGGAAAGGAGGGTAGGAACAGAACGTAGGTTTGAACTAGCAGTTTCAACTGTTTTTAGCCATAAAGGTCATTGATATTTGAGAAGTTGTTTGCTCTGTCATTTAGACGTGCTTCATGAAATCAGAGGAACATCTATAATGGAACGCAAAGTTAAATGAGAAACGACTACTGGTGTAAGGTTTCATACGGATTCTAGTGAAATTAGTTGTGTATTTTAACTTGATAACAAACGTTTTGCTCTTCACCATCAAAATACTGCTTTCTTCATCTTCACTTCACTATTTATCTGAACACGAATCCTGACTCGCTTGTTGAATGGTCATTATCAGCATCAAGTTCAATACCTGCTGCATATGTTTTATTTATGGCCATATTGATGTTAGCTAGGGATCAGTATTAGTAAATAAGCCTATTTAGAGGTAGGGACCATATTGGTTGCATTCTAAGCTAGCGTTTGGACATAGATTTAGTTGAAACTTGAAAAAATAATTTTTGAAGTAGTTTTGAAAAATAATTTTTTGGAAGTTGAAATTGTGTTTGGACATGCATTTTATTTGAAAAAAAATTGAAGTTTTGTGGGTGGGAGAACAATTGTCACCCAAAATCTACCCTAAACTAGATTTTGGGAACTTGAAAAATAATTTCAGAAATTCTTCAAAAATAGATCATTAATCTATGAACAAACAATGTTTTCAAAAAAGATTTGAAAAAACGTTGCCAAAATGTATGGCCAAACGGGGCCTAATTCTCCAGCTATGATGCTTGAGTTTGATCCCTCTGATGTGCGCTTTTATTGCAGATGTCTATTAATGATGCTGCACAAGCTTGGGGCTTGAAATGTCTTCGATATGAAATAAGTATGTGGGCTATTCTGCTGATTTTTTCATCATTCAAAAAATGGTTGTGGCTTTACATTGCTGGATATGTCTGTTATCCTTCTCATTTCAGGGGATATATCTCCTCCTCGTGGGGTTAGAGCGGCTATGGAGATGCAGGCTGAAGCAGAACGAAAAAAAAGGGCTCAAGTTCTGGAGTCAGAAGGTAATAGATCCTCTCCCTGTTGGTTAGTTTGCAAAGCAGTAGTTGCTTTAGAACACTGAGAATTAGTTTTTCTGGATCAGAGGAAGGGTCATTCATTCTTATGATATCAGGGACGACCAGCTTAAAATGTACAAGTGCACGTAGATCTATCGAAAAGCTTTACCATCTGTGGCAACTAACATTAACAGTCAATCTGTTCTTACTAGATGTGTAGTCTGCTTACTGTAAATCTCTGGCTGATAACTTAGGAAGGCCTTGTATGAGCGAAATGATTACCATGCCAATGTAAAATAGCAGCTTGCTACTTTTTGGAATTTCAAGTATTTCAATCTGACATGCAGGATTTTTTTATGATGATATTTTTTGACATCTATAACAGGAGAAAGGCAGGCAAATATTAACATTGCAGATGGAAGGAAGAGTTCAGTGATCCTTGCCTCAGAAGCTGCAAAAATGGACCAGGTCAACAGAGCGCTAGGTTTGTTTACTTAGAACTTCACATTTTCCTTGTACTTTAGTGAGATTACTTCCCTTGTTCATGGACAAGGAAAAAGTAGAGTTGTTTTGCTCCAGTGAAACTCTCAACAAGAAGTGCTAGAATTTTTATAAGGAACTGATTTTTTATCCGCCATAGCGACTGTTGGATAAGGTTTAGTGGATGGGTTAGGGTATGTGTGTGTGTTCTCTTTGGTTTTAAAGACTATAAATGGTGTTCATCATAGTCCATTACAGTATTTGGTGCCTTAATGTGGTGCCAAGGTGTTTCAAGTTACAGATAACGTTTTAGTCAAATAATGCCCTTTTATTTTTGAGACTATCAATCTCAGCTTTCACTCGTTCTCCTCACTCATTTTCTCTCCTTATTGATTGAATCAGGTGAAGCGGAAGCAATCCTCGCTAGGGCACAAGCTACAGCAAAAGGGATAGCAATGGTGTCACAAACCCTTAAAGAGCATGGTGGTGCAGAGGTGAGGTTCTTTGAACACCAGCAGTGCTGGTCCGGATCCAGCAATGGGTTATTTCCTTCTTCCTTCTTCCACCCTATACCTTCTTTTCTGGCAGTTCTGAAAGTGGAACAGCCGGCTGCTTTCATACTTGTAATGCACCAACTTACAGCAAAGTGTTCTCCATAACATGTAACAAGAATTGAAGAGACATAATTAACGAAACCCACTTAGTAACGTGGATTGTCATATAAATTTGATTGTACCTTCGCCAATCTGTAGTCATGCTTACAGCTTTCAATGTTTGGTCTGTAGGCTGCAAGTTTGAGAATTGCAGAGCAATATATCCAAGCATTCAGTAATATTGCAAAGGAGGTGAAGCGCAATAGTTACATTATATATGTGTCAACTGTCAGGAGTAAGTTATTTGCTAACTTTCTTATTGTTTCTGTTTGCCTTTCTCAACTTTGAAGAGCACCACGCTGTTGCTTCCTACGAGTGCTGCTGATCCTGCTAGCATGATGGCTCAAGCTCTTGGCATATATAAAAACGTAGTGGGCAAGAATTCTGGCACTGAGCTTCCTGGGATCTCTCAATCTAAGTTGACCAGAACCACCAGGCAGAGTGATTCATCTGCAGCCGCTGGCGATGACAGCTCTCTTACTGCGAAATCTGCTGATGAGGATCATCTGGGTGACCCTGTTTTCTCTTTGCAAAGCCACAAAAAGGATGATTGAGTGTCAATGGAGAAGTTCTCATTTCTATTTTCCTAGCTTTGTGGAGTGTCTAGCATTACATGCAATCTAATTCCTGAGTAGGTAATATGGCAATGATAAAAGAGTGCCTATTCTTTTGGCATAGAGCTCTCACTTGCATGAATCATTCTGGCGATAACTGTGTAATTGAGGATGGCTGCTATGTTCTGGATGAGACTTTTCAGAAGGTAGAAAAATGGAGAAAAGAAAATAGTAAAAAACTTGCAGTTACCTGGCTTTAGTTCCCTCCATTATGTCTTGCTTGCTTGAAGTCAAGCAAGGGCTTTATACTAGTTGACTCTTCTTTTAAGTTCGAAGGGTGAAGCAATTCCACAGGTTTATTTTTTGGAGAACATCAAAGGTAACATACGTTCTTTTGCATAAGAATCTGTCTTCTCCAAGTTTTTAACTTCTATAAAATCAGTGGAACTTGTACTTTCTTTGCACGTAGATTTTGTTTTAATTCTCTCCACGAAGTGTTGGCCTTGTCAACAATAAAACTACCTAGTAGATTCCTGTGTTTTTTGCAAATGAATCCAGTTGAACTTGGTCGAAAAGCCATAAAGACAGTAGCAACAATTGCATCATAAATACTGACGCGGCCAATTAATATAACAAGTGCTTTTTACTGTTTTAAGACTTAAATAAATGGGTTTGAATTTCAAAGAAGTTTGGGTGGTTGTTGTTTAGACTTGTTAGAAATAGTATAAGGAGGTTGTATACAAAATTTGAAGTCACTTAATGAAGATTTGGACTGGTCCACCATTGTTGAACAACTTAAATAAATGCCAAATGGGTTTAAATTTCGAATCTGGCCTTGTGAGAAATTTGGAGTTGGGTGTTAGTTAGACTTAAAAGAATGGGATTTTTTCTTATCTATATCATATATGAAACCTTATTACCAAAAATGTGCATAGTATCTAAATTACCCGCCTAGTCCACATTTTTCCTACAATTTCTGTACCATTTGTTTAATACACGATTAATTGGGCAAAATCTTCCATAATTAACGCGTTAAAAATCAGGAAAAAATCTTGCGATTGATTGAGTCTACATTAAAATTCTGCCTTAATCACTTGCGAAAAATCAGGAAGCCATTATGGAAGTAAATATTCTTCCAGATATTTTCCACCATTGATAGCCATTAAAAAGTTTGAAAGCTTTGAATTCAAATTTGGGTTTTCAAAAATCATTATTTGTTTGGATTGGGTGTTGTTGAAAATAATCGGGAATATGGTTTGGAGTTTATATCTCAATNATCTACTCATCAAGGATCCTGCTGCTCGGTATTTGGTTGATTTGGTAGGACAGGGCAAGACTCGCCAGTTCTACATGGAAGATGGGTTTCTGAAAGTAAAAGGGAACCGACTTTATGTTCCTAAAGGAGGAGATTTGCGGAGGACTCTTCTAACGGAATGTCACGATACTCTGTGGGCCGGCCATCCTGGGGAATAACGCACCATGGCGTTACTTCGTCGTGCCTATTATTGGCCTCAAATGGCCGATAATGTCGCTCAGTATGTGAAGACTTGTCTAGTATGCCAGAAGAACAAGTCGGACCGCTTGACACAAGCGGGACTCTTGGAACCACTTGCTGTCCCAAAGAGACCTTGGGAAAGCGTTTCCTTGGATTTTATCACTGGATTGCCCAAGGTCGGGATCTCACAACCATCTTGGTTGTGGTGGACCGGTTTTCCAAGTATGCCACCTTTATTGCAGCCCCACAATATATATCAGCAGAAGATACAGCTCGACTCTTCTTCTCTCATGTCGTCAAATATTGGGGCCTGCCCAAAGACATTGTTAGTGACCACGACTCACGCTTCACTAGCAACTTTTGGACCTAACTCTTCAAGTGCCTTGGGTCAAAATTGAGTCACAGCTCAAGTTTTCATCCGCAATCTGATGGCCAGACGGAGCGGTTCAATGGTATGTTGGAGGAATATCTCCGCCACTTTGTAACCGGATCGCAGAAGAACTGGGTGAAGCTTCTGGATGATGCTCAACTGTGTTTCAATTCAAAAAAGAGCTCTAGTACCAATAAAAGCGCTTTTGAAATTGTTACCGGACAGCAACCGCTACTCCCACACACTGTGAATGCACCAAACATGGCTAAATCTCCTCGAGCTGCCAGCTTCTCAAAAGAGTGTAGGCGGAATTTGGAGATAGTGCGGAGCTACCTTGTCAAAGCCCAAAAGCGGATGAAGAGGCATGCTGATCAGAATCGTCGCTTTGTTGAATATCAAGTAGGAGACAAAGTGATGGTCAAAATTCCAAAGCAGTACTTATTTGCAGGGGTCCATGACCCTCGCCTATTGCAAAAATACATTGGACCCTTGTCCATTGAAAAGCGTATTGGGAAGGTTGCATACCGGGTGGATACCCCAGCTTGGTGGAAAATTCATCCTGTCTTCCATGTCAGTCTCCTGAAACCTTTTCGGGAAGACACAGAGGATCCTTCAAGGAGCCAGCTCACAATACCCAGTATTCGAGGTCCCAATTCAACCGGGAAAAGGCGTGTTGAAGCTATCCTTGATGACAGAGTGATTCATGCCTCAAGGAAAGATCACCAAGAGTTTTTGGTGAAATGGCAGGGCTGTGATGTAGAAGAGAATACTTGGGAGAGGGGAACAAACCTCAAAGCCTACAAGAGCCTCATTGAAGATTGTTTTGCAAGTAAGGCGCCGAGGACGTCGCCAACTCAGGTGGGGGAGAATGTCATGGGCGGCTTTCCAGCCATGCCCCATGACCCCTTGGGTGCGCCCCGTGGCGTCCTAGCGAACCCCCTGAAAACTCTATAAACTCTTTTGCTAAGCTTGCAGATTCTTTCATTAAGGCGCACTCAGGAGCACAAAAGGTTGAAAAAAGAATGGAGGACATCTTTAAAATCAAACAAGGGGATACAGAGTTGCTCAGAGATTTTGTTGATAGGTTCCAACGTGAACGAATGACTTTACCCCGTGTACCAGATAATTGGGCTGCAATAGCTTTTGCGAGCAATCTAAATGTTAAAAGTTCTGAAGCCACGAGAAGACTTAAGGAAAGCCTTCGAGAGTTCCCTGCAACCATGTGGAATGATGTGTATAACAGGTACAGTACGAAGTTGCAAATCGAAGAAGATACCATGCCTCGATTTCAACATGAAGAAAGAAGCAGTTCAAGGAGATCTGAAAACTGAAAAAAGATCAGGTAAANGAACCATATTAGACATGACATAGCCAACCATACAAGGAAATGGAATGCCAATGGCACATCTACGTTTGTGTCAATTACCGCTCTACTTGAGAAGCTTCGAAAGGAAAAGGATGGAATTAAGTTGAAGGAAGGGTCTGGTAGTCCAGATGATTTAAAGGAGACGGACATAGTTGACGAAGAACGGAATAAGGGTTGGGCCCTAAAAAATTCTCCAAGTAGAGCAGGTCTTAGGAATTAGGTGGATAGAGAAACGTGGGATATATGGACACCTTCAATTAAGGAGTAAAAACTGCCCATTAATTAGACCCTTAATTAAGTATGGTATAGGATTGGTAATTTGGTATACTAAGTGTAATTAAATCAAACCTTAAACATTGAGGGTAATAGGGTTTCCTATGTGGCATAGGAATGTAAAAATTCCTAAAAGAAATAGTATAAGGAGCTTGTATATAAATTTTGAAGTCATTTAACGGAGATTTGGACTGGTTTTGAACAAGAATTGCAAAAATCGTAAAAGAAGTTCGTCGACATATGCTTGTATAAAGGTGTATAAAAGTGGATAATAATGTATAAGAGATGTTTATACACTCATATACACTATTATTCAAAGAATAATATTATACACTATTATACAAAAATTGGTTTCGTCTTATTCCTTGAGCCTCTTGTGAAATTCAACTCAAACCTAGGTCAAATCTACTGCAAATCACTTCACATTTAAGTTTTAAACTCCTATTAATATTTTCAATCAATTGATCTACACTTAATCCAAACAATTAACAAACTCTAAAAACCCAAATCTAAAATTAACTCAAAAGATTAAAAGAGAGAAATTAAAAACTAAATCGTGAAGTGTCTCAAAACCACGAGGCACTAGAACAAAAAAATTCTTAGTTTTTGCAGTAAGTTTTTCTTGTCGTAACATCAAACAAAATGGGTAACTTGACCAACTACATTTAACTCCATAACTTTTAGAAGCAGTGGTAGTAAGAAAATAAATTTTGAAATAGGGGTTGTCCACTGATACTTTTGTCAGTGCTTTCAAAATATGTATAATATGGGCTAGGTAGGGTAAAACTTGGGAGAAATTCAAAAATAGCCAGTTTCAAAAGTAATCGAAATCTAGCCACTTTTCATGTAAAGATAAATCAGAGCGAAAATACTGTTCAAAACCCGGAAAATACGCCAGTATATTATGCTGGAGTTCCAGCCTAAGTATACTTGAACTCCAGCATATTATACTGGAGTTCCAGGATAAGTATGCTGGAACTCCAGCATAATATGATTAAATACCAACATAAGTACACTAGAACCCCAACATAATATACTGGAGTTCCAGCAAAGTATACCAGTCCAGTAAAATATGCTGGAAGTTCATACACAAGTGCTCGAATCTCCACTATATTATGCTGGAACTTTCCGTATGTTGGAGTTCCAGCATAATATGCTGGAAGTTCATATACATGTGCACCGAACTCCAGTATGTTATGCTGGACCGGTCTTTGTTGCAGCAAAATAGTGGCTATTTTTCATTGACTTAGTAAACGCTGGCTATTTTTGAATGACCAGTCCGAAAACTGGCTAGACCGTGCTATTTTTACGTAAAACTTAAAAATATAGGCCATTTTTTGTTATCGTGTGAACTGTCATGGGCGGCTTTCCAGCCATGCCCCATGACCCCTTGGGCGCGCCCCGTGGCGTCCTAGCAAGCCTCCCAATGCCTAGCGCCACGGACAGCCCCGTGGTTTTGGCCGCGCCAAGTGACAAGCGCGCACCGATATCCCTCGCCAGCGTCAAGCCGCAGGCAGATGCCAACAGCGCCGCGCGCGCAGACAACGCCGCACGCGCAGACCGTGATGCCAAAGACACTGCTGCTGACAACGGACCTGCTGCTGCCTTATAGAAAACTAAGTCATTTTCACTGTAAATATAGAGTAGTTTTATTTCATGTACTTCCATTATGTTTCTCTAGCTTAGTCAAGTCTAGTCTTGTAACTTTGGATTATTTTTTTTAAGTACTATTAGGGGGGATCAAGCAATCAAAACTTTCTAGCAAGCAAGCAATTCTCTGTACTGGTGTCTCTCCCCCTCGACACCGTGTTGCTTTTCTGTAATAGCTTTCATTAATGCAATCAAGCTTTCTTTCATTCTGAATTCTCACTTCTGTTCTCTCAATTGCTCCAAACATTGGTTTTCCCGTACGGCACTGACAATCTCGTCTAGCGTACGGAGGGGACCTCAGTTGGCGGACAGCAACTACACTGACATCAGTTGCCTAGCCTTACGTCGCCCTTCCAAGGAATCTCAGGAAGGCGCCGCGTAACAGTACCAATGTATAATAAATTGATCGCCGATCCAAAAAACAAACGAAAGCTCTTTGGGTCTATTTTCCATAACTTCAAACCGTTAGTCATTCCTACACTTCTACAGGAAATTATGACCTTTTTACTCAACGGTAGCAAAGCAGAAAATCTGGTTTTGAAAAGACACATTGGTGCAGCACCCTGCAATGCGTCGGTCTAAATTTGGGCCAAAAATAATAAAAGTCCAGTTTCCGATAACCCACCCACCCCACCCCACCCCACCCTTTACTGTGAAACCTTGAGCGACACGGTACGCCAAATCTCGGCCTGTGTTGTTAGGTGTTTGTCCAGATTTTCTTACCAGAATTGGTTTCCTATCTCATGAAGGAAAAGACAACATATTTATCATAATTGGAGGTTCCTTTCCTAGAAGGAAAATATAATTCTTCCATATTTGGCTAATCCCTTTTCTTGTAGGAAAATGTTTGGACTTCTATAAATTGAGGATCCTTCCTTCTCATTCATTAGCATCCACAATGTAGCTGTAACGATCCGATTGGTCGTTTTGAGCAATTGCATCCGGTTCGGTAGTTTGAGGTCACGAGCAACTTCATATTATGTGTATCGACTTACGTGCATGGTTGGATTCTGTTACCGGATGAATCGGACTCGAATTGGAAGAAGAAATCTAGTTTTGGAAGCTTAAGCGATGAGAATTTGACCGGAATTTGACTTTTGAGTAAACGACTCCGGAATGAGAGTTGGATGATGTCAGTAGCTTCGTATGGTGATCTTGGACTTAGGCATGCGTCCGGTTTTAATAATACGAAGCTAATACATATATTATTTTCTCTAATATATCCTACCAAACGATCCCTAAGTATTAAAAGCCGTTGGTCAGATTTGGAGGCCCGTAGGGTTATTTGAGAAATTCGATGAAGTTGGAAGAAAGTTGAAGCTTGGAAAATGGAGAAGTTTGACCCATAGTTGACTTTTGTGTTATTGAGGTCGGAATGCGATTCCGAAAGTTAGAACAGCTCCGTTATGTCATTTGGGACTTGCCTGCAAAATTTGGTGTCGTTTGGAGTTGATTTGATATGGTTCGGACGTTTGGTTGCAATACTAGAAGTTTTTGAAGTTCATAGTGATTTTTATGCGTTTTGGCATCCTATTCGTGGTTCTAGAGGTGATTTTGGTGTTCCGATCGCGCAAGCAGTTTGTGTTATGTGTTCAGACTTGTGTGGGCACTTGGTTTGGAGCCCCGAGGGCTCGGGTGAGTTTCAGAGTTGTTTCGGAATATCTTACATGAATTTTGATTTTTCTGGTTCTGGTTTCTTCGCATTTGCGATGTTCTAGTCGCAAATGCGGCCATCACATTTGCGAAGAATCCTCGCATTTGCGATGCCTGGACGGCTAGGCATTTTTCGCATTTGCGATGAGGCTGCCGTATTTGCGAAAGCCGACTTTCGCATTTGCGAAGTTTTTGTTGCAAATGCGACCTTAAGAGGAGAGTTTCCAGCTTCGCAATTGTGATGAGTTTTCCGCAATTGGGTGGTTCGCAAATGCGACATTTGCAACTAGTTAAGTGCTAAGAATTCCGAGTTTTTGCTTGATTTTTCATATTTTTGAACCCTAGCTTCGTGGTGAGGCGATTTTGAGAGGGGTGTTCCATACCAAATCATTCGGTAAGTGTCTCTAATCAATTTCCAACTATATTTTGTGATTATATCTTAGGTTTAAATCAAATTTATGTGAATCTAAAGGTAAAATTTGGGGAAAATTAAAAAACCTTTCAAAAATATAAAATGATGATTTGAGGGACCAAATGGTATCGGAATTAGATAATTTTTGTATGGGTGAACTCGTGTCGGAATGGGTATTCGGTTTTTGTAAATTACGTCGGGTTCCGAGGTGCGGGCCCGGGGAGTTGACTTTTGTTGACTTTTTACAAATTGTATAAGAATCATAACCTTATTAATTAAAATTATTTTCTCTTGCATTGTTTGATGTATTTAAGTCGTTTTTTGCTAGATTGAGCCGGGGGTTGATGAATTGGTAAAGGAAAATCTAAATTGAGTGTTGAATTGACCGGATTGAGGTAAGTATCTTGCCTAACCTTGTGTAGGGGACTCCCCCTTAGGCTTTGAGTCCTCTATGTTAATTGTAGCCTGTGCATGCGAGGTGACGAGTGCGTGCTCGATCGTATTTGTGGAAAATTTGTCTTTAGGGTTCTTCGGTCCTTATGTTCATTAAGTGGGAAGTTTTTTGATATAATTGGGTTTCCTATTTTCTAGTTTTACTTCTACATGCTCTATACGATGTTGTTAGCTCCTCTATACTCCTTACTTGTTATTTGGCTCTTATTTGCCTAAGTTGAAACGATTGCCTTCCTTATTGTTTTGATACTTCTTCATTGTGAGTTCCTCTATGACTTTGTGCAACTATGCTACATGTCCAGTTGTTGTGGTTGCCGGTGAAGTTACCACGTGCCTTAGATGTCTCGTTGCCCTTGTAAAGGTTGTTGTATTCCTTTGATTGTTACGTGATGCTCTTGATGCTATGTACTCATACTCTTGGTAGTAGAAATTCTTGTAATTGAGTTGTGGATTGTTGTTGTTGTTGAT